AATGTAACTATGCCAAGGGAAAAAACTAGAGTAAAGACTTAATTGTGCTGTAGTCAAGTAGACTGAGGAATACGCTCAAGAAGCATCCTAGTTTGATTTATATCCATAAATTTTTTATTTACTTAAAAAAAACTCACTTCAAAACATGTGAGCAAGATCTAACTATTTATAAGCAGCAAGCTGCAAATTATCCATCTAAACTGCAAATATTCATGACTTTAGGGCTTTTATTGAGAAGTACTTACCCTGACAACATTGCATCATCAAAGGTTTCAGTAAAGTACACTTCTCCTCTAGGCTCTGGTGTTTTGTATACTACCTACCAAAAATTTACAAAAAATATAACAAGAATCAGAATCAGCACCTACAAGTGAATACATTAAAAGTGCTAAAAGAAAATTAAATATCTGTACATTGTCAATCAAGAACTTCATTCCATGAAAATGAAGTATATGCTATCAGCAAAATACAAACAAAGCATGTTTTTTTCTGGCTTTTTTTCCATCATAGAGAAATGTATGTAAGGCGTTCAACAGCGATAGATTGTATTCAGAGCAAAGTTTTGTTTTTCATATATGCACAGTTGGTAGCATTTAACACTATGGACTCAAACAATTACAATCTAAGTTTTACATTTCTAATTTATTTCTAATTGACCTTTATATTCCAGAGTAAATCAAAAGTTTAATTACTAAAGTATCCCAAATTTATGGAGCAAATTAGTTCTTTGATATTTCAAAAGCTAACACATTTATTATGTATGGGTTTTCACAGGAACTTTCATCATAAACTACACAAGGCAAAAGCAGCAAATGTGAAATAGCAATATATCAATATGCAATATGAATTATTTTGATAAAAACAATATTCAGTAGATATATTTACTGTACACTTTTTTTACCAGTTCAGTGAGATTTTAGATTCTTCTGAAAAATACAAATACTAATTGATACCTTTTCTGGTTTCGTAGTAAGTATTGTAAATGTAAGTTAAATTTACCAAAATCTAGGAATATATATTGACGGATGCTTTCCAAGTGTGGAATGAGCTCTGCAAATATAAGCAGCCACCTGTTTGTTAACCAATCATGCTTAATTTAAAAAAAAACGACTTCCCTAGATAAGACAATAAGATATACATCAGATTTAGATTCATTTATTGATTTATGCACAGCATGATTTTACGTCTCAGGACTGTGTGCAGATAAAGCATCATTGGTAACAGGTCCACTGCCTTAAAAACAGGACAACATTATAGGTCTGTAACAAGAGAATGCACAAAAGAATAAAAAAAATCCGCTACTATACAGCATAGTTTATTATATTTTATAGCACCAAAATAAATTTAAAAAGAAATAACGTGTTGTGTCTGAATAAACTTCCAGGAATTTATAACATTTTTAGTATTTTATTATTTCTAAAAGCCATAATAAATGGAACAGGAAAGTTTACAGTCAAATAGCTGCAATTTTAAATTTTAATTTATACATGAAAATGTTACCTCTATGGAAGATCTGCCTGTCTCAGTGTTAGTGTCTTCTGAATTTTGGTCAAAATTTTCTACTTCAACTTCTGGATCTTCAGCTTCTGCACTTACTGAACTTAATAGTAAGAGACTCAGACATAACAAATCCCACTGACGTTGCATTATGACCATCTGTAAAATGGATTTATGACAAATGTATTATTATAATTTTAAAAAATCAGGTGTTTAAAGATTAAGATAAATCAAACAAAGCTGGGAGTTGTTTTTTTTTAATCTTTCCAGACAACTAAATTTACTGAATTAATCCAGATGCTGAAGCTGCAATGTGAACATAGACATAAGGAAAGAAGTGTTTCATAACCCCAACTCCAATTTCTTTATTTCCCAATTAGAAAAATTATGAAGTTTCTTATATAGCAATAAAACTTAGACTTATATACCACTTCACAGTGCTTTACAGACCTCTCTAAGCAGTTTAGAGTCAGCATATTGCCCCTAACAATCTCAGTCCTCATTTTACCAACCTCTGAAGGATGGAAGGCTGAGTCAACCTTGAGCCAGTCAGGATCAAACTGCTGAACTGCAGGCACCAGCAGTCAGCAGAATAAACCTGCAGTAGTGCATTCTAACCACTGTGCCATGGCTCTTAAAAATATATTCATTGTTAGTGTACAATGAATACAAACCCCCCCCCAACATTCTTATTCTCAAAATAATTTTAATTGTATCTGAGTTTAACTGTCATCCATATACAGTATATGACATGCTACAGTGCCTGCAATTGATCACAGAATCACAGCATGTGAATCTAATTCACTACCACCCTGACAATGAAATGCTTAGTTAGATTTGTCTACATATGTATGTATGCATACATACATGCATACATACATGCATGCATATATAAATACACACACACGAATAGAAAAACATACTCTTCCAAGTTCTATGTACTATGATAAGTTCAGAAATGGTATAAATGGACTGAATACTTATACTGAAATTTTGTATGATAATGATGTCAACATCAAATATACCTCAGAAGATTCTTCCTACATTGTTGACACAACTTCATATTTTAGTAGTAGAGGGTCTTTTGACCCTCTACTACTAAAATATGAAGTTAGGTCAACAATGTGGTCATTATCAAGTCAGAAGGCTAGAGGAATTGAGGTAATATGGCAAGCAAATTACAGAAGAATCTGAAAAGACTCTAATCAAATTATGCCAGCAAATCTAAAGAATTGCCAACAAACTAGAAATGGTCAAAGAAATATCAGAGAAAGACATGCTAAAGAGTATGTAAATCATTAAACATTATCCTTAATTTCATATGTAAGAAAAGAATGTTTAGGATCATTCAATGCAGATTATAGCCATACATGGGAGATGCCAGATATTCAATATGACTTTAGAAAATCCAGAGGACACGATACATTATTGCTAATGCAAGCTGGATAATTTAGAAAACCAAAAAGAAACAGAATATGCTTCCTTGGTAGCACAATTGGGATCAGAATTTCTGTTGCTAAGCAAGGCAGCTCTTAAGGGAGTCACGTCAGATTTCAAGAGCAGTCTGGTCAATCCGTCCTCATTTTAATTGTAGAAGCAAAAATATCCCAAATGCATACAAGCTAGCTCTGCAAAACTATAAAGGAAGGAAAATGTCATTTTTTAAAAAATAGCATTAGAACAAATTTTACTGTTCAATATATTCGGAAATAAATCCTATGGCACTTTTATTTCCAGGTAAATGAGATTGAAAACTGAAAACTATATTAAATAATAGGAGGGGTTGAGAGGAAATAAACCATGTAAAAATAAAAACAGACCTAGCCACATACAAAAAACTAACGTCCCTCCCTTTTTGTGTAACCTTTACCAAATTAATTCAAGTTTAGGCAATTCCAGATGCTCAACCTTCCATTGCCAGTGACTTCTACAATTAAAATGAGGACAGATTGACCATACTGCTCTGATTTCCAAATAGGTAAATATACCAACAATTAATGGGAGGGAACATGCTTGTGAATCTACACTATCTACAGCATTTGTAGAGATCTACAATTGATGAGTACTTGCTCTTCCTTGCCAACAACTGGTCACTGAGAACTAACAGTGTAACAGTGATTGTTTGCAGGCCAGCAACAGGTAGAGGTCTCAATCAGTGATTGCAGACATACTATATAATAGAGGAAAACACTGTTTCTTTGACAGCAATATTCAGTATTGAACATAAGATTTTTTTTCACGAATGAAGGCAAATATACGTGTCCCAGGATAATGATGCAAGATCGAATTTCGATCGGATTTGGCCATGAAGGTACAAAGATAGTCAGGGAAATGATTGAAGCCTGAGAAACGGGCCCCTTGTCAGTTAAAAAGAGTGCTGAATTACCACCAGCTTATCAAATACTTGGGAGCCGAGGGCTTGGCAGCACAAGCAAACAATAGCCAATCAATCAACACACCAACCAATCAGTAGGAAGGCACCACATAAACATGACTCACAAAATAACCCAAAGGACATAGAGAGAAATTCCTTGAAGATAGGGCCTAGGCATGAGTCCGAAAGCTCGGAAAAGTAAATCTCTGGTCACGGTGATCAAGCCAAATTCAAATTCGCATAAGATTCTCTTTTTTTTTAGAATTACTAAGATAATCAGGGTTTTCTCATAATGTAAAATACTCAAGTCACAGCACTCATAGAGACTTGAATCAATCTATACAGGATCTGAATGCTGATCAGAAAACTGATATCTGGGAATCAAATATTTTTTGCCAGTATATATTATAAATGTTCAGGTTTTTCCCCACAATTTTTAAAACAATCAGATGTGAATTCTAGAATGGGAAAATAAATAATAAAGAAGCAAGGCTTACAATATCTTAAAGAATAGCAATGCAAAATTAATATATTAATTAGGCACATTCAAGCAAAAGTACAAAAAAACAGAAAGAAATGTAACTCAGTAGAAAAAGACAATTTCTAGACTGCTCCAAGCATTAGTTCAATGGTAGATAAACAATTAACTAGAACAAATAATTTTCTTAACAATACTCAAAAAGTAGATGATTCAGACTTATTGAGAAATAAGCAGAATATTAAGATAAAAAAAATAGAGATAAACCTTCTCTACTTATTGCTGGTTCCTATTTTGAGAATCAAGAAGGGGTAAGCATTATTTTCTCATCCATTGTAAAAATAGGCCAAAACTAGATCATTATAGTCTATTAGTCTATAGTACAAACTTTTAGAGTATCCAGATGCTCCTAACGCCTTCGATTTTTCATGGATGGATCCAAATCATTTTAAGATTACTATAATCATAACAAGTGATCTAGTTAATACATATATCAAACACATGCTTTTTTAAGATTATCATCTCCATTCTTTTACTGAATTTTGCTGTGCAACTTGCAAATTTCTAAACCAACATTGGCCCAAAGAGATTTAAGCAGAAATACTTGGATTAGAAGATCACACGTCTCCAAAGTTCTACATCTTTTATAGTTCTATTCACCTTAATATACTACTTTGCAATTCTGAAAACAGCACAATACAGGTAGTCCTCACTTAACTACCCATCACTTAACGGCTGGTTGAAATTATGAAAGCTTCAGAAAGGGGTTTACTACCTATAAATTCACTACCAACTATCACAAAATATCAGGTTCCCCCCATGGGCATGTGATCACTATCTGGGTGCTTGAAAGCCTGTTTGGACTTACAAATGGTTGCCAAGCGCCCTATGATCATGTGATTGCCACTTACAATGTTCTCTGCTGGCCTCCCCATGAAGTCACTGGGGAAACTGGTAGGATATGTTGCAAACTACTGCTGGGGCCTGAATGAAAGAGCTTCCTGCTGTTTATGCCTGCCTGAACCTTAGAAGCCAAAATTCAAGCACACATGGAACCCAAAATCCCTCTCTCTACCCCTGCAGGGAGCTCCACAGAGGCAGGAGAAAAGGACACCCACCTCCATGGCTGCTTGGATCTCAGCAGCTGAAATTCAAGCATGCCCAGCCAGAGCCCAAAACCTCTCTCCCCCTCCTTCTGCAGAGAGCTCTGCAGAGACAGGAAAAGGACTTTCCACTCTGTGCTTGCCTAAACTTCAGCAGCCAAATGCAAGCAAGCATTGGAGCCCCAAATCCTTCTACAGGTACAGAAAGGAACTCTGTTCGCTTAACTATCTATGAGATCATTTAATGATAGCAACAGGAAGAGCAATGAGTGAAATAGTCATATGGGCATCTTGCTTAATGACTGCATGGCTCAGAGAAACTCTGATTCCAACTGCGGACATTAATTCTAGGGATACCTGTACACCTTGTCTTTGTTTTATTCAAATCAAAAGGTACATTAATTTGCATATACACATTCGCTTTGCATTTCTAACAACTTCCTTATTTGATGAGAGTAAAATAATAAAGCAACTGTTCATCTGCTAGCTGATGATGTGCTTATGTTTTAGGGATACTTGCTTTATATACTAACTTGCCTTTTTCTATTATTGAGGTTTTAATTGAAAACAACTGCTTCTTTGCGAAGAAACACAGACAATATCAAGAATGTCACATATCTGGAACACTTTGAAATTCCTGTATGAAACAAGATTGTTTAAAATGTGAGCCTAGAATAACAAACACGCAACTACATGTATACATTATTCTGGGTTCAGCAAACTATAAAGACAAAGGGAGACTGGATAGAAATAAGTTATCTTTTAAAAAAAACAGTAACCACGGCCCCATTGACATGAATGGTATACAACATTTATTTATTTTTTAGTAATCCAGTAACATATATACCTCCATGCATCAAAAGAATTACAACATTGTAAAATTTTAATTTCCAGGCCAAGGAACTGAAAAGAGGGGGGGGGGAGATACCAAATGATTCTTAATGGATGTTAGATTTTTCTGATCCAGACCGACTGCACAATTAAAGAGCAATAGATCCTTAATCTTAACAGGTTTCGGATGTGTTTATTTTGGCGTGTTCCTACCTAGGAGCTTGCTTCTCTCCTTTGTTTAGAATCACAGCAATTCCATGTTTGCTCGATGATGATAAACAAACAAGCAGAAATGAGCCGATTAAATACAATTAGCCATAACTTCTCCCGCTTAAGCTAGGTAATTATGGAGACCTTTGATCGTCGCGGCTCCGAAGCCGCTGCAGGGGCAGCAAGAAACCGCTGCCACCCCGGGCTCCTTCTCCTCGGATACGAAAGCTAATTGGTGTTGATCTCCGCATCTGCCCCCAGGAGGAACGACTCTTCGCGGAGGCAGCCAGGTCTCCAGGGAAAAGCGACTGCCGCCGCATCCCTCCGGAGCCACGGGGCGGACTAGGAGAGAGACAGGCTTAAGGCGAACTCCCTCACTATGTTCAACCTCTCTCTCTCACGCGGGGGGAAGCGGGGGCCGAGGAGAACTGATCCAGGTCGCGCCGAGTAACGGCAGAGTAACGGCTGCGCCCGAACACGAAGAGTAGGAGGGGCGGTGGCGACCCCTTCCGCGCGCAGAAAGGAGCTTCTGAGAGGGCTGCGGCCGATTGCCGCCTTGCAGTTGCTGGCTCAGCCAACCTCATCCGCCGCCAAAACCCAGAACCGTCCGCGGGACGCCCCTCCCAGAGTTCCTAAGAAACTACCGCCGTTACCTCCCGCGAATCCAGTCAGCGTTTCCCCAGCTGGAACACGGACGCTTGCCACAGAGCATCACCTTAGCTTCCCAATGCGCATGCGCCACGCATCCGAACCGGCGGGCGTCAAGGAGCAGGTGCTTCGCCTGGCAGCCTCGGCCAATCGCAGCGGGACGCTTAGAGATTTTAAAGCCAATCACGGCGAAGGGATTCATTCCCATCAGCAAACTAACCCAACCCCGAATCGGTCCGCCGTTCTTTGAGAACTTAACATGGGCGGCCTGTCCAATCAGGTTGAAACTTTTATTGCTACAGATTGAAAAAATCTAAATTATTTTCGCAGACCGTTGCACCACGATGGCCGCTTTAAGGTCCAGTACAGACCGTTGAAAACTCAATTGTCCGATTTCGATGTGGCATTTTTAAAATGCGAATTTTTTTTTAAAAAAAAAATCTCTTATCAAAAGCATGTTTTCCTGCAAAAGTGAATGCAGTGCAGCGATTAATATGTTAGACTGGGACCTGGAGACCTAGTTTCAAACCCGCACATGATCATGGAGTCGGTTAGAATGACTTTCGCTCGGTTCAGCAGATCTCGTTGGTGAGATGTTTGTGATGAATTTATACAACTGGAATTCCAGAGGATAGGTGAATTACAAATTTAATGTATTAGTGTTAATGAATAATTAAACCAAAAATAAAATGTTTGATCTTTTAAAAAATAGCTACTTTAAATGAATCTAGTTTTGATTATATTATTGTGTCTTTAATTATCTATGTAAAATTATCTGTTATTAAGAAAATGACTTGTTGGACAATCAACTGCTGGTTAGATATTCTTTTATTTTCCCACCTTTTTCAAAGTGAAATATTTCTTTTACATAGGCTTCCCTTCCCCACTCACTTCCCAATCTTTAAAACCGGATAGTTTACCCCTTCTTAATTTTTAAGATCTTTTCAAATAACCCATTATTTTTTATTTCTATCAGTATTACATCACAGAAGCGGAATGAATGCTCTTCCTTAATCTGGTGGCCTCCAAATATGTTAGTTCTAAAACTCACAATTTTCAGATGGTATAGTTCAGTGTTTTTCAACCTTTTTTGTGCAAA